AGTAAGTAGAGCAAGACACAAGATAAACGTGAATTGATAATAATGAATAAGAAAATCATTGAAAGAACTGCATCGTTCATAAATATCTTCTTAAATATGTTAGAAGATGAAAAAGTGCGAAACTTATCATGAAGTTATTACAAAAGATAAGAAAGAGAAAACAGCAGAAGTGGTTGACTATATAGGAGTCTTATGAGTCGTTTACTCTCACGAAGTCACACTCATAATCACTAAGCTCAAAAAACAGGCACACATCTGAATTCATAAGCCGTGCTTTCACTATGGCTCGATTCATTCATGTTATACTTGCTTTTCTGTTAGCGATGTCCATCATATCGCTTGTCAATGGTCAATGTGCGACCTTGTGTGTGGTTGGTAGCACGGTGGTCGGTTGTTGTCCAGCTTCGCACCCTTGGTGCTGCAGTATCAATGTAGAACTGCGCTGCTGTCGTTTCAAAGAGAGCGCAGCTGCTATATTTCTTCTTCGCACACAAATGAGCCAAACGATAGAGATCGATTCGATCGCGCGTTTGGAACTTCCAACCATTCCATCAGTCAAGAATTCTTAAGGCAGGTAGACTTGTTTTCATATTTGACTTGCAACAATAATATGATGACACGCACTTTTTGTATAATCCATAATATGCTTCTTACTATAAAATAAAAACTGCTTTGTTCTTCTTAACATTGATTTAAAGACATTTTTGTTGGAAATATCATGAACGTGTTTTATTGAGACACTAAACTGTTTGTTGAGGTAGTCAGCTATATCTCAAACACAGTTGAGAGGTATTTTGTAGTAGATTGTGAGAATAGTATTTTTCAGGATGAATATTAATCAAAAGTAGAGCACAGATCCTTCAATTTTTTTGTGTGTGGATGCGAGCATAACACAGCCATTACACTCAGACATCATGTTCGGTGGAGTGCTACAAGAAGAAAGTGAATAAATGGCTAGTCACTGGAGTTGAATCATAATTCGATCGAAATTAAGTGTATTGACTACTATTGAATGATGAAACGGAGTGTGATTGTCTATCGTGCCCTTTTCATCTTATTTGAAGAAATAAATCTTATCATACTTTCGAACGCCATAAGATCAGAATTACGATCAAATTTAATACTTCGAAGTGGATAACGACAACAGAGTCATGTGCACTGCATCCATTTGAAAGTTTTCATTGCATGAAAAAATGCATCGAATTGTCTATTGTCGACGAGTGAAAGGTGGTGATTGCTATAGTACTGACCCTAATGTTACGTTTGAATTGCTCTTAATAGAGTCAAATTTATTCATTTCCAAATGAATGCTAAGCAAGATCTCGAGCTTTGAGGATCCAACTATACCACTAAATAGTCATGGAGTAATAAACATGTGCATAGCCGATCTTCTTCTTTCAGAGCTGTATTCACTCTGCGAGATGGCCTGGCAAGAAAGAACTCTGCCCATTTTCTCTTAGATTGATGTGGCTTGTATGCAATATTCTCTGTTGATCTCTTCGGTCATGGTAGTGATTCTAAGATACACTTGTTGTTTTGGCATTGTCTGAGAAACTTGCTTCTGCAGTGGCACAGAAATCCAGGACAAAGACGTGCGGCGGGAAACAACAGGAACCAATGATTTTCTAACGAATTCCTGAAGCAGGATCCCGAAGTCTGTTCTGACTCAACTTATATCAATTCCTGTGCCTGAAATGAACCACCGAATAGAGTTGCCTTGTTTGCTACGGTTCTGATGTTTCTCACAAAATGGCAGAATATGCTTCGTATGTCATCGTTTTCTGGTCGAATCAAGAAATCCAGATCTGATCGTTCTCTATTCGATTGAATAGCTCACATTTGACAATGGGATAGGACAACAGGATCTGGTCCATAATCTATCCTTGTCAACCTCATGATAACTCTATTTGTCATTTGATGAATCGCCGATTGTTATAAGTGGCACCCATGATGACGCTAGAAGCATATCAGACGATGTTAGTGGAATATCAGAGTTGCTTCTAGCATTCTTCAATATGCTGATAGGATCCACGCATTCTAGAAAAAGTGATAATACCCTGAGGCCAGTTGAACATGAGTTGTCACAAACCTAACTATGAGTCATCAAGTAGTACCTTCCACGAATGATACACAAGCGGACGGCCTCCACCTTATACATAGGAGCGTACAGCACACTACAGTTCATTTAGTCGCGTCGCAAGCATAGGTAACATGTATTAAAATTCGATCCAAATCTATCAAACTGTAGATCGAAACTTCGAGTAACGCAATGGATCACCAAACTTGATAGTTCGATTAATAATTGAAGTCCTACTCATAAATGCTTGACACACCTCCAAAGGTAACTCGAGGTAAGAATGCAAATATCTTTAACATTTACTTCATAAAAAGACCTTTTTGAGACTTCTCGAAAAATTTCAAAACAGCTAGTGCTTGCATCTAGAACTTAAAAAAGCTAAAGAATTAAGAAGAATATGCGTTCTCTGAAGCTTTTCCAAGTCTCTTACCTTATTTTCAAGGAACATTGAGGAATCAGAGAGCTATACTAAAGAAGGAAATATTTAAATCTATTTTCGGAAATCATAAATTATTTACTAGCTGCTTTAGAGACTCAAACTGATTTTTCAAATGAGAAAGATATTCAAAGATCTTTTTTTGACTAATAACTAATGCAGTAGATATTTTGGAGAGCATGAGAAATTATCCGGTGGAAAAGATATTGGCCAGACCTTCAACAGAAATGATCTCATGTTTGTGGTGTCATCGGCAGAATACGGTGTTTTTCTCGTCTGAATGCTGCTTCCCAGATCACAGAATATTTTCCGCCGAATATGGCGGGAATTATACTACGAATCTGGTGGAATTACCTGGAAAAGAAGTCGTTTCTGGTGAGTTCCTGCTGTATCCAGGATTCAGAATCATCGATCTAGGATCTAACTAGTGATTTAACAGACAACGAAACAGCCTATTTTCAGAATTTGATTCCGTGTCTTTTGAGCTAATATTTAAAAGATCCCAATTAGAAAAGTTCACTTCTAATCAAAACTAATTTGATATTTGAAATCACCATGAAAAACTCATATATTTTATATGCATAGAAAAAATTTTCCTTTGTCGCTCTAAGATTCCAACTATAAACTAAATTCCATCAAAACGTCATTGTGATAATATCAGAGAACTTCAGAAGCTTTTCAAGATTATCAGATCATAAAACAAAATTTTTCAGTAAAAAAACTTCAATGAATTGTTTAAATAAGACATGAATCGGCGCAGTTTTCATACTTATTCCAAATTACGATATTAATATTGACTATAATCGACTTCTTTCTGTCCAAAGCTTTCGGAATAATATATAAACAGGCACAAAACCACGCTTCGAAAACAATCTGTTTGATTATTCGTAATTTCATTTTAAGAAGAAAGACGTTTCGAAAGATACAATAGGATTACAGTGTAGCACCTGTATATGCTATTGCAATAGCTAAAAACTGAATAGTGCGCCGAGATATCAACTAGTAACATGTCGAACTATGTATTTTTTTCGTGTACAATTTTACTTGATTAAGAATAAAACTCGTAGAGAGCCGATGCGAGGTTTTTATGTACGTTTTGTTTTTCTTTGTGTGATTTTCATTTTCTATATAAGGTACACATCAGAAGACGCTGAAAAGGCACCATTACCAAGTACTATTGATTCTTTAATAACAGAATTTGGTCGTATGCTTATTATTCGTTGTTTACGTCCTGATCGTATAACACATTGTGTATTAAATTTTGTTACACACAATATTGGATCGAAATTTGTTGAACCACCTATTCTTCAATTAAATACTATTCTTGAAGAATCTAATAAACGTTCACCATTAATTTTTCTTTTATCACCAGGTGTTGATCCAGCACCAAAATTACAGCAATTAGCCGAAGATAAAATGATGGCAAAATCTCGATATTATACACTTTCATTAGGACAAGGACAAGCACCAAGAGCACGAAAATTATTAGAAGCAGGCATGAAAAAAGTAAATAGACAAATATTACAAACAGAAATTAAATGAATATACATACATATTCAAAGGGTCATTGGGTATTTTTGGCAAATTGTCATTTATCAATTAGTTGGTTACCTGAATTAGATAAAATTGTTGAACAATTACAAACAGCTGCTGTTCATAGTGATTTTCGTTTGTGGTTAAGTTCTTCGCCTACAATAGATTTTCCGATTTCTATTTTACAAATTGGCTTAAAAATTACCAATGAACCACAAAAGGTCAATAAAAAACTTTATACGGAATATGTATATGTTTATTCTCTTGTTCTTCAATATCTAGGGTATCAAAGCAAATATGAAACGTTTATATGAATTAATAACACCAGAACAATTTCAAAGAGTAAAACAAGATGAAAAATATCGTAAACTTTTATTTACATTAGCTTTTATTCATTCGATTGTTATTGAGCGTAAAAAATTTTTACAACTCGGCTGGAATATACATTACACATTTAATGATTCAGATTTTCAAGTTTCAGAAAATTTATTAGCTATTTATTTGGATGCATATGATAAAACTCCATTTGATGCACTTAAATATCTTATTGCAATTGTTATATATGGTGGACATTGTACTGATGAATGGGATATGAGATTACTACATGTGAGTTTAGTTTTTGCAAAAAAAAGAATAGAAATAACAAAAAAAAAGAAATGTTCTGTTTTAATCAGATGTAAAGTTAAGAATGCACTAATTCCTGAACTATAGTTTCAAAGATAAAACCTTTTGTAGTATTGACACCCCAATTATTCTATCAATTGTTTTCCGCTCAACTTTTATTGCTCAATCCGAAACTATTATTAGACTTCATTGAATCTACAAGAGGAGATTCGAAATTGGTCGAAATTTAAGAGTTTTAAAACAAAATCTGACCAATGTCATAGCCTATTGTTAATGCTCAAAAAAAATCGAAGAATAGCATTGAATAGTATATTCAAAGTTGATCATCGTTGATGCGAACTATTGATATAAATAGACATATTTCTCATAGTCAGAACTGCACTTTTTCATCAATGATTTTATGCCAGCAGCTCTTTGAATAGTGAGAAAAATAATGACGAACTGAAATTTCGATGGATGCTGACACTTATTTTTAAACCGAATAGAATCTAATAATAGCTTCAAAACAAGGAATTAAAACTGGACAGAACTATTATAAACGATTGACAGGACCATAGATTCTTAGCACTAAAACAAACATCATCTTTGAAACTATGATCCAGAAATTACCGTAAATGTATCTAAAGCTAAACAAGATGAGTCAAATAATCAGTCAACATTTAACTTTTGAAAAAATGATATGATTGTTATAGTCCTTTAAATATCATTCTTTTATTAATTAACATTTGTTTTCTTTTGAAAGACTTATATCGATTCATATATTCGTAATGAAATTCTTGAAGTTACATATTATAAATTATCTTCATTAGCATATTATTACATGCCTCGTGATGGTACATTTAAATTATATAAAGATTTTATTAATTCGATGCCTACAACGGATCATCCTGAAGCGTTTGGACAACATCCTAATGCTGATATTGCATCACAAATTCAAGAATCAAAAACCTTGTTTGACACATTGTTAGCTGTCTTACCACAAAAATCATCAGCAACTGTAGAAAAAGAAGTCGAAAATGAGGTATATCTAATTGGCATTAGAAATTATAATGAAAAAAGAAAAGATATCAAATTTTGGATAATATTTAACATAATTGTTTACTAATTCAAAATGCGAACAAAAAAGACAGAAATAGTCTGTTGTTAGATAGATCTTTGATAAAAATATGAAAATCTAAGCTGGAACTAACGCGCTGATTCTAAAAAAAATGTGTTCAAAATTCTGCAGCCTCGTTAAAGAGTTTGAAAATGAATCAATGTTTTGTTAGATTAGTTTTCGATCATTCATTATCTATACCTTCTATAATTCAGGTAGCTAAAGCAGCAAGTGAAATGCTCAAATTAATGCCACATCAAGTTGACATTGCAGCAGTAAAGAAATATATGTTAATTGATACATCACCATTATCTGTTGTTCTTTTACAAGAAGTAAAATAGTTTAAAAAATTTTTTTTATTGTATCTATAAAATGATCATTGTTGTTATAGGCTGAACGATACAATACACTATTATTGAATATTACTATTGCATTAAATGATCTACTTAAGAGTATCGAAGGTTTAGTTGTTATGACAGTTGAACTTGATGAACTTTTCAAATGTATTTATGAAGGACGTCTTCCATATGCTTGGCAACGAGTAAAAAGAATGATGAAAATCTAAAAAAAAATTTTTACTTTGCTTTTTTGAAGACCTATCAATCATTAAAACCTCTTCCTGCTTGGTTTCAAGATTTACGTCAACGAATAAATTTTTTCAATTCATGGATCGAAAGTCAACGTCAGCCTATAATCTATTGGATATCGGCATTTTCTTATCCAACTGCTTTTCTGACTGCTGTACTGCAAAGAACAGCACGAAAAGATCAGGTTTGTGAGTTATATCTACTTTTTAGAAATAATTTTTAATATTTCATACTATCACTATCGCATAGATTGGTGTTGATCAACTTTCATGGGAATTTGAAGTTAATAAAGCAGAAGATAAATACCTGTCGGATACAGATGATGGTGTTTATGTGAATGGGTTATATTTAGAAGGAGCTGGTTGGGATCGAAAACAAGGAATGTTATGTGAAGCAAAATCTATGGAACTTGTAACATTAATGCCAACAATACATTTTCGACCAATTGAATACAAGAAAAAGTTGACTAGAGGTAAATTTTCTATTTTACTTTGTTCTCAAAAGATATAATAGAATCATTAACAAATAATTACAGGTCTTTATATTGCTCCATGCTACTATTCATCTATTCGAGTTGGATCATTTATTGTTGCAATCGAACTTAAAACAGGCTCTATGCCAGCAGAACATTGGATCAAAAGGGCAACTGCTTTACTAATGAATCTTGACAATTAATTAATTCATGTATTTGTCAAAAATTTACAATTATAAAATAAAATAAAAGGAAACACATTACTTAATTCATAAATCCATAGTGGCCATAGTTGCTCACATAGTGCCATATTGGAACATTTATTAGAAGACTAAAAATTAAGTGAATCACAAATCATATGATTAAGAGAACTTTCTATATCAAATACTATAAATCATATTGTAATAGTTGTTTTTCATTTTAATGCATTAACTGTGTCGATTTAATATATGTGTTATCTCAGCATTAACACATGTCTGTAAACAAAACTCTACGAGTCGCCGTCAAGGTACTATAGTTTATTCCATAATTTACCAAAAACTATAATGAGAGTTTGAAAACTTCATGTAAGTTTCATATAGTTACAAAAATAAATAGATACTTTTTGTCAACAATAATATATGTAGTTTCTAGTTCATTACTAAAATACATACAACATTTATTACGCTGTTCGTATCAATATTTTATTTTAAAAAAGTATTGCTTAGAAAACGACGAAAACCGTATTTCGTGATTAGATCATAGTTTTGTAAATCGTTTATCAGAAGCATAAAACTAAATGGTGAATAGATATAAAGTTCTAACAATTCGAATAAGATTAATTCTTGATTATTTTTCATATTGACGGTTACATTTCAATAATAAAATAAATTAGGTTATAGCCAAATACATTTTTGTTAACTTATGTGGAAACGTTTCTAAAGGTGAAATCACTTTTGAGTCAGAACTATATGCATTATATAGGTTCTAGTGAGCTATGAACATCTGGAAAAGAGCTTCAGTTAATAGCTTATCAGTGCCAGGATACCTTATTTTTTAGCAAAAAGTCTTATTCCTCCTCAAGAGTACTGCATGGAGACAGGTCTTAACCAGAATAGTTTATTATCAAAGTTTCAAATTTTTTGATTGCATCTATTCTGAAATGAGAACATCGAAATTGACCATTGTATAGGAGCAGAGTAAAAAGCATGTTTTTACCATAGTCGTATCATAGGATTGAAGTAATCAAAAGATCTGAAACTTTTACGATGAGCTATTCTCATTGAGATGAACCTCTATGCAAAGTTTGAAGTTGAAATTCGAAACTCAGATTTTCTGGTGTTTCTGAGGGGGACTACTATGTTTGTTCTACTGGAAAATACAATATTTCTGCAATAATAAACTATTAGCCGGAACTCTCTTCAGGATGTTCTTAACTTATTAGAACTTATATGATCTACATAGACCCAACTCAATAGGTTGTCAACTGAAACTCACATGGCTCAGTTTTTATAGTCTAACTTGGGAAAAATATAATTTCTTTTCAATATCAGTAAAACACATCACGTAGCTGTTTCATTAAATTTTGTCAACAAAATATTAAAAAAAACTTTCTGAAAAAGTTTGAGCCGTTGAAAATCTCTGTTGAGAACTACTCTTGTTTAATGATGAAAAAGTATTTAATATATATTCTTTTCAATATCAAAAGACTGCACAAACTACGAAAAATATAAGAATAGATAGTTAACATGCATTCTGGATTTTTATTCTTATATTTATTCACACGACAAAGCCGATTCGTAACTTAGATTATCAATAAATGTTTTTTTTTGTCACCGACGGCACTATAGTTGGTTGAATTGAAATTAAAAACAACTTTTTATTTTATGCGTAGATGAGTCTTTGGTTAATATCTTCCGAAATTAAATTGTAGCATAGTCAGTGAAGATTCACCCTACTTTGATCGATAGTAAAAATATCGAAGACAAAAATAATAGAAATGTCGAAAGGTACAAATGTTGAAAATGATAAGGTATGGGAAAAGAAGTTTTTTCACTCTCATTCTAACTCTTACATCCACATTAAGATCCCGCATTTTCGTTTTCGACATTTTTATCTTTCGACATTTTTACCTTTCAACCAAAGTAGGGTTAACCTCAATGAATGACAGACAAGACAATGATGACAGAATAACAACGAATGAGTGAGCAAAGCTTGTTTCATATATCTTAAACATGTTCATGAATATTCTTCATTTGGAATTCTATCGGCAAGCATAATTAAATCTCATTTTCTTCAAGTGTGGTTGAATTGCATGTAAATGTATGTTTTTCGACAATTGCCTTTATTTGTTTGATGGTTGTTTGAAACAGTTACGCAAATTGTTTGTCGATGTTTTCCATATTTTTCCTCCTCAATCAACTTTCAACATTGAGGTAAGTTATACAGATAAGAACAATACTAGTATTTAATTTGGAGGCACATAAACTTTTCTAGAAAACATTAACTAATCTGAAATGTTTTTCCTTAACTTTTAGTAGTGAAACATCCTGATTACGCTGAAGTAGTTATACCAAATTTACATCAAACATCAAATTTAGAACAATTGACCTTATGCCTTAGGACTGAATGTCAAGAAATATTTATTGATGGTAATAGTTTAAAAAGCAATATTATCAGTCACGTGTCTCGATTAAACGAATTCATATTTAATATTCTATCTATTATTATACGTAACAATACAATAGGATTATCATTAAACAAAGGCATTCAACTTACATTGACATGCTCAGTAGATCATAAAGTTACTTTCTGTATTGACCATTTTCCCAATGACAGGATTGATCAATTGTCATTTTTATATATATTCATATATATATTGAGGCATTGTGCAGATCTTATCAATAGTTTTCTAGGTGGATTATTGCACTGTGTACATTTCGTAAAATTTTTTATACAACGTTCTTTTGAGTATTCGTTATTTATTCGAATTGCTCAATCATTTCCGTTTCTCAAAAAGTTGAAGGTACGTAACTTAGAATCACAGAATCAAAAACTAAACGACCATGATGGATATGTCACAATTATGGAATGCTCTCATCTTGTAATATTGCGTCTTATCAACATTCATGACGACTATGTTGATAAACTTTTACTTGATCCCAAAACATGTTTGTCAAATGCTGTTTATTTAGTAGTCGACTATGACCAGTTATGGAGAATTAGTTACAATTTTACGAGAGATTCAACACGAATTAATTTTACTAAAGTCAAAAGTCTTTAAATTGAAAATCGATTGAATCTACCGAAACATTTAATGATTACTTTCGTAATGTCAAATACTTATCATTATTCTTGAAATAATTCAATAAAATCAATAATGGTGAGGGATGCCACGATTTTTAAGATGCATCGTTACAGCTAGAGGTGGATGGGTATGGGGTGTGGGTATCGATGTGGGTTGTGTGTGGTGTGGGTGTCTGGAAAAGTGTGAGTATGTGGCAGTGTTGCTAGATAGGAGAACTCAACTTTCGGAAATTCTCTAATTTTTCTGTAAAATCCGGAAAAAAATGAAAGCAGTCTTGATGGTCAGTTTTAACTAACCTTTTCCCACTCCGGTATAATAAAAGACTCGAGATATTCTATTACGTTGTAGGATATAAATTTATCCGCGAAGTATTCTACTCTAATCCGCATTATTCTATGGGTTCCAGTTAAAGCATTTTCTGAAAAGTCTCTCTGGATTTCAAGACTTTTCCAGCATTATCTAGGGTTTTCCAGAATTTTTCCAGACCTACCTAGGATTATCTAGGATTTTACGTTGTCGTTGTGTGAAAAAATTCTGGAAAATAGGCAGTTTTCACTGAAAAATATTATTTTTGATTTAATGAGTCCTGATTCTTAATTAAAATTAGGAGGATCTTCTATTGCATCCAGCACACCTCATCATCCGAGAGTTTTCTGAAATATGGTAATGTTATTTCTCATCGTCAAAAAATGTATTTGAATAAGAAAAACAAAATATATGTCAAAACATAATTAACTCAACGAATAGCAACTCATAGAAAACCATACATTTAGATATTAACGGTGTAGGCCTAGATTCACACTCACTGACTCACATCCGAATCTGTGCCTCTTCGTTTTGATTATACACTTCCAAACTGTAAGAAAAAGATGAATATATAAAGTACACACGACATTGTTCATTAATTTTACGGTCGTTAAATAAGAGAAGAGAGAGAAATTATACGCAACAATTAAGAAAATATAATTGATCTAATGAACTGATCACTAGAAGGAAAAAACACTAAGCTTCCTTCGAATCATTAATAACTTTTAACAAATATCATCAGACTAGTGAAAAATGGTTAAATTAGAAA